GTGAGAGAGTGCTGAGCAAACAGGAAATGAAATTCAAACATTCGCGGGTCTTTTCCTGTCTACCTGGTCAGTGCATCTGAGTTGAGAGTGCTGTCCAGAGCGGTCACAATGAAGCACTGTGGGATAGCTCCCGGAGGCCAATAACGTCGAATTCCGTCCACACTACCCCAATTCCGACCCGCAAAGGCCGGTTTTATCGCTAATCCCCTCGTCGGAGGTGGTGTAAAGAAACCGGTTTAAAGGACCCTTTAAGTCGAAAGAAAGGGCTTAGTCGTGTGGACGTGTCCAGGCTTAATTCGATTTAACGCTGCTAAAGTCGACCTAAACCCGTAGTGTAGACCAGATGTTTTTCCTATCTTTTAACCAGTTACCAATCCATAAGAGAACCTTCCCTCTTAGCCCATGACAGGTTACTTTGCTTAAGATGCATGCAGAAGAATCCTTATGTCCACTTCCTCCTGAGTATTGTACAAGTCCTGGGCTTCTTCAGCACCTATACTAGTAATGGACTTTACTTCTTCACCATTGGAAAAGCCTCCATCATGAAGGCATGTTTGTGCTGGGTGTGCTCCTATACTCTCATGTATTTTGACCTATATATTCACAGAGAAAATTTTCAAATGGCTGCTTGTTGGAGGCCATGTGTAGAAATTTTTTCCATGGAGGTACAGGATGTCCACCAATCACCTGGTATTTCTTGCATCCAACTTTAGGTCCTGTCTGGTACTGTCTTTCTGCAGTTTTCACATAGTTATTGTTGTCATATCTGTCAAAGACTTTGATGACAGAATTAGCTTTTTCAAATTCTTTTAGGACTGCCTCAAGTACACAACAGCCAGTTCACTGAATGCAAGGAATTTGTCTCCAGTCATCATTTGTATGACAGCCATGACATCTCTGATGTACAATGTGGTTTCTTTGTTGCATGCTTTTAGCTCACAGATTCTTTCATCTTGAACTTCCAGCTGATGCTCTAATTCAGCTTTGTCTGTTCTTCTCGTTGTTCCATCACCATAGAAGAGGGACATAGGCACTGGTCCAAGTGAGTGACTAAGAACAGTTGCCATTGAAACATCATCTCTGTATCTTGCTAAGAATAGGGCTCTGCAGAAAACAATTTCTGGGCTGATAGCTTCTGTGATTGTCCCTCCCTTGCCAAACTTAAATATGGTCTTATTGGCCATCTCAGTAAATGTTTTGATGCCAGATTTCTTGATTGGGCTGAAGAAGCTACGTGTCCTATCAGAATCAAGACATCTTTCACAAATCTCTCCATTTGTTCTTCACCAATATCAGCTATTTTCAGATCTCTTGTACATCTGATGTTACATGCAGTCCAGTAGGTATCTTGATAAGCACCTCTGGATGTGATTCAGGGTCAAATGGGTTATAGAATCATAGAATATCAGGGTTGGAAGGGACCTCAGAAGGTCATCTAGTCCAACCCCCTGCTCAAAGCAGAACCAATCCCCAGACAGATTTTTGCCCCAGATCCCTAAATGGCCCCCTCAAGGATTAAACTCACAACTTTGGGTTTAGCAGAGCAATGCTCAAACCACTGAGCTATCCCTCAGAGAACTGTTATGCTGTCCTGACAACGAGCAATGAGGAATCACCCCCAAAGGTGGAGGAGGAGAAGACATGTACCCCCAAGGCTGGGAGGATCACAGCCACCACTCCCAGGAGGAAACGTACGGTAGTGGTTGTTGGTGACTCTCTTCTGAGGGGGAAAGAGGCACCCATCTGTTGCCCTGACATGGCATCCCAGGAGGTATGCTGCCTGCCAGAAGCCCGTATCTGAGACGTTAGGGAGGGATTGTTGAGGATCATCTGGCCCTCTGACTACTACCCCATGCTACTCATCCATGTGGGAACCAATGATACTGCGAGGTACGACCCTCAGCAGATCAGAAGTGACTACAGGGCTCTGGGAGTAAGGATGAAGGAATTCGGAGCATAGGTGGTGGTCTCTTCGATCCTTTCAGTCAAGGGTAGGGGCCCAGACAGAGAGAGAGGCATCCTGGAGGTGAATGCCTGGCTGCGAGGATAATGTCACCAGGAGTTCTTCGGTTTCCTTGACCACGGGATGCTGTTCCAGGAAGAAGGTCTGCTAAACAAGATGGGGTCCACCTGTGGAGGAAGAGGAAGAGCATATTTGGATACTAACCTAGTGAGGAGGGCTTTAAACTAGGTTTGAAGGGGGCAGGTGACCAAAGCCCACAGGTAAGTAAAAAACATGGAGACCTGGGAGAAGGGTCAGAATTTGGGGGGGGGGCGCATGAGCTGTTATAGCAGGGATAAGGGAGAAACAAGACAGAACGGGGTGGGGAATCAAATCAAATCTTATATGTCTGTACACTAATGCGAGAAGTATGGGGAATAAGCAAAAACTCGAAATGCTAATAAATAAACACAACTGTGACATAGTTGGCATCTGTGACAGGTTGGATCACAGAAAACCCCTTGGGAACTGCCAACTGATGTGCTGAGACTACCTCTGAGTCCATTTTCCCTGGCAGTTTGGGACTTCAGTGCCCTGCCTGGTTTGAGCCAGACACACTTGCCTGCTGCAAACACAGACCCAGGTCTGACCCACGTCCCCAAAAGCGGCAGGCTTAACTGAAAACAGCTTAAGAAGTGTTCCTGTCTCCAACACTCAGATGCCCAGCTCCCAATGGGGTCCAAACCCCAAATAAATCCATTTTACCCTGTATAAAGCTTATACAGGATAAACTCATAAATTGTTCAGCCTCTATAACACTGATAGAGAGATATGCACAGCTATTCGCCCCCCCAGGTATTAATACATACTCTGGGTTAATTAATAAGTAAAAAGTGATTTTATTAAATACAAAAAGTATGATTTAAGTGGTTCCAAGTAATAACAGACAGAACAAAATGAATTACCAAGCAAAATAAAATAAAAAATGCAAGTCTAAACCTAATACAGTAAGAAATTGATTACAGATGAAAATCTCACCCTCAGAGATGTTTTAATAAGCTTCTACCACAGACTGGACACCTTCCTAGTCTGGGCCCAATCCTTTTCCCTGGTACAGTCCTTGTTTCAGCTCAGGTGGTAGCTAGGGGATTTCTCATGACTGCAGCCTCCTTTGTTCTGTTCCACTCCCTTATATATCTTTTGCACAAAGCGGGAATCCTTTGTCCCTCTCTGGGTTCCCACCCCTCCTTCTAAATGGAAAAGCACCAGGTTAAAGATGGATTCCAGTTCAGAATTATATATCCTATTTCTAATTTCAGATACAAGAGTGTTACATTTATACAAATAGGATGACCACACTCAGTAGATTATAAGATTTGTAATGATATCTTACAAGGGACTTTTTGCATGAAGCATATTCCAGTAACATTATATTCACACTCATTAGCATATCTTCATACAATTGTACAGAGTGCAACGTCACAGCATCACAGAGACTTGGTGGGATAATACGCATGACTGGAATATTGGTATAGAAGGGTACAGCTTGCTCAGGAAGGACAGGCAGGGGAAAAAGGGAGGAGGTGTTGCCATATATATTAAAAATGTATACGTTTGGACTGAGTTTGAGATGGAAATAGGCAAGAGACTTGTTGAAAGTCCCTGGGTAAGGATACAAAGGGTAAAAAATGAGGGTGATGTCATGGTAGGGGGCTACTACAGATGATCTAATCAGAAAGAAGAAGTGGATGAGGCTTTTTTTAAACAACTAACAAAATCATCCAAAGCACAGGACTTGGTGGTGATGGGGGACTTCAACTACGCAGACACCTGTTGGTGAAAATAACACAGCAAGGCACAAATTATCCAACATATTCTTGGAATGTATTAGAGACAATTTTTTAATTCACAAGGTGGAGAAAGCTACTAGGGGAAAGGCTGTTCTAGATTTGATTTTGACAAATAGGAAGGAACTGGTTGAGAATTTGAAAGTGGAAGGCAGCTTGGGTGAAAGTGATCATGAAATGGTAGAGTTCATGATTCTAATGAATGGTAGGAGGGAGAACAGCAAAATAAAGAGAAAGGATTTCAAGAAGGCAAACTTTAGCAAACTCAGGGAGTTGGTAGGTAAGATCCCATTGGAAGCAAGTCTAAGGGGAAAAACAATTGAAGACCATTAGCAGTTTTTCAAACAAATATTATTTGGGGCACAGGAAAGATAGGAAGTATGGCTTAACTAGGAGATCTTCAATGATCTAAAACACAAAAGAGGGTCCTAAAAAAGTGGAAACTAGGTCAAATGACAAAGGATGAATATAAATAAATAACACAAGTATGTAGGGACAAAAAGGTACAAAACGAGATCAAACTAGCTAGAGACATAAAAGGTAACAAGAAAACATTCTACAAATACATTAGAAGCAAGAGGAAGACCAAGAACAGGATAGGTCCATTACTCAATGAGGGATGAAAAACAATAACAGAAAATGTGGAAATGGCAGAGGTGCTTAGTGACTTCTTTGTTTCGGTTTTCACCCAGAAGGTTGGTGGCGATTGGACGTCTAACATAATGAATGCAGTGAAAATGAGGTACGATCAGAGGCTAAAACAGGAAAAGAACAAGTTAAAAATTACTTAGACGAGTTAGATGTTTTCAAGTCACCTGGGCCTGATGAAATGCATCCTAGAACACTCAAGGAGCTGACTGAGGAGATATCTGAGCCATTAGCGATTATCTTTGAAAAGTCATGGAAGACAGGGGAGATTCCAGAAGATTGGAAAAGAGCAAATATAGTGCCAATCTATAAAAAGGGAAATAAGGACAACCCAGGGAATTACAGACCAGACAGCTTAACTACTACCCAGAAAGATAATGGAGCAAATAATTAAGCAATCAATTTGCAAACATCTAGAAGATAATAAGGTGATAAGTAACAATCAGCATGGATTTGTCAAGAGCAAATCGTGTCAAACCAACCTGATAGCGTTCTTTGACAGAGTAACAAGCCTTGTGGATGGGGGAAAGCAGTAGACGTGGTATATCTTGACTTTAATAAAGCTTTTGATACTGTTTCGCATGACCTTCTCATAAACAAACTAGGGAAATGCAACCTAGATCGTGCTACTATAAGATGGGTGCATAACTGGTTGGAAAACCATTCCCAGAGAGTAGTTATCAGTGGTTCAAAGTCATGCTGGAAGGGCAAAACAAGCGGGGCCCTGCAGGGATCAGTTCTGGGTCCGGTTCTGTTCAGTATCTTCATCAATGATTTAGATAATGGCATAGAGAGTACACTTATAAAGTTTGTGGACAATACCAAGCTGGGAAGGGTTGCAAGTGCTTTGGAGGCTAGGATTGTAATTAAAAATGATCTGGACAAACTGGAGAAATGGTCTGAAGTAAATAGGATGAAATTCAATAAGGACAAATGCAAGTACTCCACTTAGAAAGGAGCAATCAGTTGCATACATACAAAATGGGAAATGACTACCTAGGAAGGAATACTGCAGAAAGGGATCTGGTGATCATAGTGCATCACAAGCTAAATATGAGTCAACAGTGTTACACTGTTGCGCAAAAAAAAAAAAAAGCAAATGTCGTTCTGGGATGTATTAGCAGGAGTGTTTGTAACAAACAAGACACGAGAAGTAATTTTTCCACTCTAATTCGTGCTGATAAGGCCTCAACTGGAGTATTGTGTCCAGTTCTTGGCACCACATTTCAGGAAATATGTGGAGAAATTGGAGAAAGTCTAGAGAAGAGCAACAAAAATGATTAAAGGTCTAGAAAACATGACCTGTGAGGGAAGATTGAAAAAAATGGGTTTGGTTAGTCTGGAAAAGAGAAGACTGAGAGGGGACATGATAACAGTTTTCAAGTACATAAAAGGTTGTTACAAGGAGAAGGGAGAAAAATTGTTCTTCTTAACATCTGATGATAGGACAAGAAGCAACAGGCTTAAATTGCAGCAACGGAGGTTTAGGTTGGACATTAGGAAAACTTCCTGCCAGGGTGGTTAAACACTGGAATAAATTGCCTTGAGAGGTTGTGGAATCTCCATCATTAGAAGTTTTTAAGAACAGGTTAGACACACATCTGTCAGGAATGGTCTAATTATTACATTATCCTGCCTTGAGTGCAGGAGACTGGACTAGATGATCTATTGAGGTGCTTTCCTGTCCTATGATTCTATGATTAAATACAAAATAAAACCTTCTACCCAGTAGACTAAATCAGGGGTTCTCAAACTGGGGGTCACGACCCCTCAGGAGGTCACAAGGTTATTACATGGGGGGTCACAAGCTGTCAGCCTCCACCCCCAAACCCTGCTTTGCCTCCAGCATTTATAATGGTGTTAAATATATTAAAAAGTGTTTTTAATTTATGGGGGGGGGGAAGGGTCGCAGTCAGAGGCTTGCTATGTGAAAGGGATCACCAGTACAAAAGGTTGAGAACCACTGGACTAAACGCTACATTTTATGTACAAAAGCTTACACATGGAGCAGCATTTTTGATGGGTGCCACCTGGAACTGGGATACCACTGAGCCCACCTGACTCACCAGCCTGGGCTCCCTTTATACTGTACTGCTATGACAGGCCCTCAAGCCCCCTCCAGCATACATACAGGTAGGGACACAGCCAGCTGCAGCTACACACAGATGCTGAGATCAGCTCTGCATGGTAAGGCTCAGATAAGGCACGCACCCCCCTTTTGGAGTGTAAACCCAAAATTATACCATCTTGCGCTGCACAGGGAACTGTGCAGCATAAGCTCATGAAATTTGCCCCCACCCTCAATGTGGATGAAAATATGCAACAGCTTTCTGCCCCCAGTTATGATTTCCACACACTGGTTTTAGACAAAACAAAAACAAGGTACAAAAGAGGTACAACAAGGTACAAAAACTACAAAAGATAGATTTTAAGTGATTATAAGAGATAGTAAACAGATCAAAGCAGATTACTTAGCAAATAAACAAAAAAGCAATCTAAGCTTAATATACTAAAGACATTGGATATAAGTAGCAAATTCTCACCCTAATTGTTTTTTTAGGCAGTTAGCAGATATTCTTGAAGGCAGAGTAGCTGGAACCATTTTTATAGGGGGGTGCTGAGAGCCATTGAACCAAACTGTAAACCCTATATATAATGGAAACCACTTCAAGTCAGAGGGTGCTACAGCACCC